GAGTAATAAATTTTGAAATTCCTCGAATGTAGATGCGCAGTACGTGTGCGCGTGGACAATAGTAGGCACCGTCCTTAACAGGTATATTTTAGAGGAATTGGTAGCAACGACATACCACATTACAGAGAATATTGTGGGGTCAGTGTGGGTAAAAAGGATGCCAGTTGTGCATATGACGTCACACATAAATTGAAATGCAATAGCAGCATAGCAATGGCAGACAGGCTTTTGAAAAATTTTCCAAAATAGAATTCAGACAGGAAAAGTTTCTTTTTCAAACCAACTATTGTTTATTGATGAGCTTTAAAAGCTATTTGAGTATGTAGAATATCAAGGATTTTTTTGGGTCATTTTTATTTTTGTAAGAGTAGCACTTTAAGTGCTACCCTCATAAGATAAGGGTTATGAAATATTCTTTATTAGCAGACTCACCATTGACCCTGGCACTTAAGCCTCTACCAGATGGCTACCGAGGACATACACTTATAACTAAAGCTCTAGTACTCTTAGTACAATCAATGATAAACCTTTCTAAGCTACTTACATGTATAATAGGTGGGGTGTTGGTGTCAATGTTAATACTTCGCCGTTGATTTGCCTTTGCACCTTCATCTACTGACAGTCGTTTTAATTTCCTATTACCCCTAAAAGACAAAACAAAACAAAATTAGTTATAAAGAGTACATCAAATGACATCACATAAGATCGCCAACTTTAAACACCCCTAAAAAAATTAAACAACTTGAGTAGAAAGATATAACAGGCATTGTACTTTTAAAAACTTGTTCAAAAATTCATAATAATTATGAAAAAGACGAAATTAATTGAGCATTTAGACCTATCAGATCCTTTGATATCCATCACGTGCATGAATCTTTATACCTCATAATAGCTCAACATGGATATCTTTATATAAAGATTTTGAAATCTTTATAAAGGACCAAAAGAGTACATGAGCATGCCATGAATAATGACCCTAAATGGTCATTAATTATTCATAAAAGTCGTGCAATAAACTCGCAGATTGTGTTATGTCAGGTTTGAAACCACTTGGCTAACGCCTCAGGGTTTTAAACCTGATATAACACCCTTGCTCATTTAACTATATACATTAACAACTGGTAGATTTCACAATAATGTAGTGAAACACAAAATAAAACTAGTGTGTAATCAAGCTAGTAGTTTGACTTGCGTATTGTTGTATGAAGCAAATATTATAGTATATATATATAGAGAGATATTATAGATTATAGATATATTATATAAGATATAGGCATTCTTAACTCAGACATTTTGAGCATTATTCTATTGTCAGAGTACAAAACTTAGCAAACAGTGTCCAACTTACAATAATCAAACAATACTACTTGAAACCATACCAAAATAAAACTTGAAATAAAACGACTAAAACTATCTATTTGAAATTGAATGACCTGCTTCAGAAATTCTAATTTCATTTAAAAAAGGAGTGTTACATGAATCAAGTTGCTATTAAACTATCTATCAGCAAGTACATGTAAACTTGTTGAGATGGAATTCACTTCTGAATATGTTGCTGTGTGAAAAAAAGCAAAATACCTTTCTTTCAGAAAAAAAAAAACCTTATATTTTTGGTTTGATTTTGGCACTATTTTCCCGAATGTGGGATCCCTATATTATCATTTTCCACAACAGTATTGCACACAAACCTGGCATCATTAAAAGTTCTCCATATTTTTCGAGTCAGTCCCATTGATTTTTAGATTTTATCTATCARACTATAATTTCACACGATTTTGAGATAATAATTACATATTCTTTTGTGAGGGAGAGTTTGGTGGATTTAAGAGCTGTTTCAGTTTAACGTAGAATACCCTTATAAGGAAGAAAGCACAACGTGCAAACAAATAATCATGACGCTTATGTAGATCAGCTATATTTTTTAGGGTTTGTTTCCAGCAGAATTGCTGAAGCCAAAAATATTGTTTACACAAGAATTGGGGGATATTATCAAGAAGGAAGAAATCTTTCAAATTTGAATTATTGATGTCCTGAAACAAACTTAATGCTAAGGTCTAAGGTCTAAGTCAGGGCATGGCTTACTCCTAGATTGTACGGGTCTCTGAAACAAACTCTGGGTTGATGGAAGTCATGGCACAGATAACTCGCACATCAAACCCTGAAACATTCTCTAGGCTGATTATGAAAGTCAGAGCATGACTACCTCACAGATCAAATCGGAATTTAAGAGACCACAGGAAATAATCCCTGAATTCAAATTTAGGTAGATACCCAACAAACTGTACTTCAATGAGATGCCTTTACTCCCGAAATAGAGCCTGAGACCCCAGAGGCTAGAGGATAATTTGATACTACTACATCATCACTGATTGCCTATTAATAGGTGAATGTTTCAAGAAATATAAACTGTATAGAAAAAAAATGGTTTGTCCAAATAATGTGAGACTATAACAGCATAATTTAGGTAATATCATAGCTTGAATGAATTAGAATCTTAATGTTTTGTTGATGAATTTTTTTATCTATGAAAACAGAACAACATTGTCTACAGTTTTAATGATTGAATTATGTCTAATGACATCAATTAATACTACAATTTATAATGCACTTGTGACTTTACTGTGCAGTAATATCATATTCAACCAAAGTACACAAAATTCATTTGGAAAGAAACTGCAACACTTGAAAATTATAAATCAAACCAAACCATAACGAAATATCCTACATGTAAATTCTATGAGTTCTTCTAAAAATTTTGCTACACGGATTGTATAGTTCTATAAGTTTAATGGTGTAGTTTTGAAGTCTATCAGGTTTGTGATGCAATATTCTGAGCAAACACAGAAAGATCTGTCAAGGCATAACTTATCAAGCTTTTTGTTGAAGTATTTAGAGCAAAGGTTTACCTTCCAAAGAGCTACAGCTGGTTTAATAGTAAATAAAATGTTTTTGTCTTAAGAAGGTAAATATCTTAGAAATCTTTATGGTGTTTTGTTTAGGAAGTCTTTACTTAAGCAAAATCTTGTAAACTTTTGTGACACACGGCATTCCATAACTAATCCTTAACCTATGAAAGATCTAGTCTAAAAACGAACACACATAATATTTCACACACACACAAAAATAATGTACAAAACTAAAAGATTAGCAATAATTTTGCTCAACTTCGAGAAAGATGATTTTTGAAACTTTAGTACCACAACGATCGTAGTTACATGTGAACATTATAAATTGAATCAAATCAATTGAGCTTGGTTTGATCAGGAAAAATGTACGGATATTTGAATACAAAATCATAGGATAACAAAAGAAAATAATCGTACCTTCAGAAAATTGCTAAATTAAAGGATAAATGGCACAGGAAGTAGTAGCGAAGTGTGATATTTAAAGCCCTCTTTAAGTGTGTGATGCCATACATTGATATTCTAGATGATCTTTGAATGTCAATGCTGTCATCATTAAGTGAGAAATTTGATCCAAGTCACCTGATAATGACATACCAGTTCTATGTAGAGGGTTTGATAATAAAGGTTAAATATTTTGATGACAGAAACACTTCAGACATCAATAATATCATCACTATGTATATATTAAAAAATATATATATATTATATATAATAAAATAAATAAAGCATTTTCTCTGCATATCTTAGTAGAAGTGGAAACATAATCCAAAAACATGTTCAAGAAATTCTTTAAATTCAATGCAGTTTTTAAAGGGAAATACAAAAAAAAATGTCACATCGTCCTACAAGAAAATCGTAACTGCTTTAGTAATTCCCTGTAAATCTTCCATCCAAGGAAATTTTGAAAGGAATCTATATGGAGTGTATGACTTGTTTGGACATGCAGGCAGGCATCTCGTTCCATGAAGTAAGTGTATCTGGAATAGAATTACCTTTAATGGCTATACTTAAATACAATTTTAAAAAAAGCAGATTTCTTGGGGAAAAATATACACAATAAGTATGCATAAAAATTATAATCAATAAACTTTATCAAAATTATTGTTTTTAAAACAAAATTTAAAAACTGGCATATCAATGATCAATCAATATTACATTATTCTATTATTTAATACCTTACTATAGCTGATTAGAAATTTTTTTTTTTTGACATTTTCTCTTAATTACAATTATACAAATTTCACCAAATAAGATAAAAAGTGAAGGGTTTTGCTTTTGTAAGAAYAACATTTTCTTTGATATATAAATGTAAATACAATGACAAAAATTCAACTCAATTCAATTAAAAATTAAAGACAAGTTTAGATGTAACCATTTCAGCATTAATCATATCCTTTTTATAATCACTACCAAATCCTGCAATCTGATTGGATCAAAGGAGTGCAATTAATTCCCAAATCGCATCCTTAGGAGCTTTTAATTGCATCCTTAAAAAAAATTTTTTTACAATAAAATAAAACAAAATAAAACAATACTAGTTCTTCTACTACATTAATTAGATTATTCTGCACTCTATATTGTGTCTTTTTCTTGTTTATGATTATAAAAAGGATATGATTACGCGGTCGTGCGATTTTGTAATCACTCGTTTGATTTCAGGCCAAATTGCACTCCACTGAATTACCATCATTAATTATTGAAAAAATATGTGTTATAACTATGATTTTATAATAGGAAATTACAAATCATGTCTGCTCAACATTTTGGAAATATTTTTTTCTATATCCTAAGAAAAAATCTATATTTCTTTAATATAAAGAGAGTTTATTTTCTTCAAGTAAATGTATTTTTTGTTCATCTACAATAAATTATTATAATCCAACTTGACCCATATGTCAGTAAGCCAAAGATCACATTTTTCAAAATCAATTTAAGCTTGCTTTAAGAAGGATATATTTAATTATTCTTGAATAAAAAGAGAGTTTATTTTCTTTAAGTAAATGTATTTTTTTGTTCATCTACAATAAATTATTATAATCCAGCTTGACCCATCTGTCAGTAAGCCTCATTTTTCAAAAACCAATTTCAGTCCTTTTTTTAAGAAGAATATATTAACACGTACTAGAGTTAGATTTTAACATCATTGTTGAAGCAACAAGTGTTTCTGGGCTAAATATACAATGTTTTGAAGGTCAAAACCAATGAAAAGTAATGTGCTCATACATGTAATGGTTTAAGGTTCAAACAAAAGAATATTTTATTATATTTTAAAGTCGATACAAAACGTACACAATTATCTACTTTAGATAGAAATGTACAAATGATTTTAAAAAAGTACAGTACTTACAATTTTTTCAAGTTTACAGGTGTATAAAGGCTAATAATCTCTCTCGGTGTGGGGTAATCTGAAGTAGAGACATGGCTTCTTCTCCTTGATGTTCTAACAATTATCTCACAGCTTCTAAAGCATGTTATTCTTCTATATTCCAACGCCATTAAAAAATGCTATAACTCTGGTCCTTGGACACCAGAATGTTATAGGTACTTGATTTAGTTTAGTTTCAAATAATATGGAATTCTAGATGTACTTGGATTTTAGAAGAAAATAAGGATTTGGGTATTGAATGGTTTCTTCATTGACAAAGAGAGACAATAGAGGAATGTCATTTGGATGGATAAGAGAATGAACACATCTGTCAAACATGGCACTAGTTATCGTTTSTTGATTTTGCATATTACATAATACAATATTGCATTTCAAATGAGCATGAACAGAAGATATCTTAGTCTTATGTCAACATGTGCAAAATAACACTTTGCATTTGAACCACAAAATTATTTTAATATTGGAATGATGAAATTAAGATCATAACCTTAAAAGTATGAAAAAATTAAACTTTAATTTAACCAGATGCTATGACCTTAGTCTCRTGTTAGTAGGTACAAAATTATACTTTGCACCACAAAATTATCTTAATACTGGAATTTAAGAATATAGTAGCTTTATTAAGAAAAAAGTGTTTCTTGTTTCCAAATGATGATCCAGAGATTTGAAAATACACTTAAATAACCTGTTGAACACATCGATAACAAGCATAATTCATATATTTAGGCACCGCATAAAAGGGGAGCTCCCAATACGGAAGTCACAATTTGAATGAAACTGGAAGGTAAAAATAAGATCRGGGGAAAATCTTCAATTATTTTTTATTCRACAAACCATGCAGTGAAATCGAATCAAAATGCACTACACTGTTTTTTGTTTTTTTGGGAATTTTGTACACAACTCACCACCACCCCCAGGGGCTAGTTTTGTTCTTGGAAGATTCTTTGACAAAGTTTTCCAAGCGTTATAAAATATTTAATAATTGTTCAAAAATGATGAATAGCTATACATAGGCAGCCCAAAAATATAAGCCTTTAGTTTCTCTTTTGAACTGCCTACTATCCTTGAGAAAGATATTTTACACTAAATTCATATCCATTGTATTATAAATGTATCGTAATTAACTTTCATATTCCTCTTTATACAAATTTTTCTCAATATGTAATCTCTTGGATGGAATAATAATTAAAAATGATGATGATGAATATTTAATTATGAGCATTCAGAACCAATTGGAGCGACCATACACGTCACATGCATGGACCTTTAAACCCCATAAAGTCCTCTTCATTAGTATTTTTATATTAAGAATAAGTGAGGACGACCTTATCAGAGATAAAGTGCATGTAAGTTTAGATGAAGACTTAGAGCCTCAACAAGGTCAGGCTCACGTACGATCATTAACCACCCATAAATCAATGTGGTTAAATAAAAATTTAAGCAAAGTTAAACTAGAAATTAGTAGCCTGTTATCACTATCTGTCATACAAGTATATGTGATAAGCAAACAATTGCTATTGGCTCGCAGCTTCAATGCTATCCAATTTTGCAAACAAGGCTAGCTCGACGCATTTGGTTGGTTAGATGCATGACTTGAGTAAACAGTTGATACTGTACGTGATACAAGACTTGCACATGGAAGCTAGTGCCTTTTTTGCACTTACTGCACATGGCAGTGACATACAAACCTCATTGTGCATGACATTGCTGTACAAACGACTATCAAAGTATAAAAGTTAATGTTCGCGAGGTATATGGTCGCTCTACTTCAACCAAAGGTTTGTAAATTATACCTAAAATTTTGAACTCATTCAATAAACTCGCAGATCGTGTTTTATCAGGTCAATATTAAAACACTCCTACTYATTTATCAAACTACTTTCTTAAGCAAAAAAATTCTTAAATTTTGAACTTGCATTATATATGAAATATAATTGGGATTTGTTCAAAAAATATTTGTACAAGCAGATTTGAAGTGTATAATTATAAAACTGGTAATAAACAGCATCAAAACAAAAGAAATGAAATGAAATTTCCACGAAATAATCCAAACTCATATAATTATCATATACAGTTGATTGCACCACCATAATGACTCACAACCAATATAATAGTAAAGGAATAAATATGATATGTCTACGCATGAGTTAATCTTTAATCACCATCGTCACGTTGACGTCACAATCAGTAATCCATACAATAATATTAAGAATAGCTAACATATAACCAAGGAAATAATGCCTGATGCAATAACAAAAGTTTATAAAGTATTATAAAGTATAGCGTAAAGGTTTACTTCAAAATTAGTCATCAAGCCGAGGAGATATTTTATAAGCCCAAATGAATATTATAAGTTAAGAAAGGGTAAAGTAAGTGTTTATATTCTAGAGTTGCTATGGAAAGTTGCGGAATACAGATCTGGAAGATTCCAACCTCTATTAGGACTCACGCAGAGATATGCAAAAATTCAGAAAACTTAACCATTATTCAAATTCATAAGGAATTAGAACATCATTATTTCTAGTGATAAGATTAAAAACTTTAAAAAACCAATGCGGAATATGTAAAACTTCATCGTATTATTTTGAATACAATCGAGTATAAATATATTGAAAGACATTGCGAGTTCTAAAAAGATTAATTTATCTATTAATAAAGATATTGCTTGTCTCAATATTTTTCGATCTTATCGAACCATAAAGACTAGAATAAATAAGTTAGGGCTATTCCTTAGAGGTTTATAGTCATAACATCAGCTGATTTTTAATCGTAAAAAAATATGAAAGTTGCAGTCGTAGTTGAACTTCAAGGCGTCTAAGGTTTCATGTTGCTAGAAAATACTACAGTTATAATTTGACCTTTTAGGTATATGATCTTTCACTGAAGTCTTAGGAACGTTTACTAAAGCATTCCTCTGTTCCTCTGTAGTTATAAACGATAAAAAAAATTTTCATCAGAAGAGGAAAGGTAGAGAAAGGCGAAGCAATGTCAAACCTGTCTTCGCATGAAAGATTTTATCTGGAACGAAAACTCGAATTATTATTATTTGCTTCAAAAACGTAATTTAGGCCTAGACATCGCCTTTATTATCATAACACAAAACGTAAAGCCTAGCAAAACCTTTAATCCCAAAAATTCTAAGTAAATATGAGTTAAAGTTCAAAGAAACTTGAGAAGAAAAGAGAAATCCGCTCGCACGAATTTTAGTAAAATTTTAGTTGAATGAGTACCTTTGGATTGTCGAGGCTTCTGAAGGCGAAACCACTGGTAGGTTGGTCCCTATGATCACCAAACAAACCAATATAACAGCTTAGTAGTAACACAAAAATGTCCAAATAATTTTTCTCATTGAAGAGTTCTCAAAATACATAAGTTTTTCAAGAACAAAAACAGGTAGGACTCGTGCAAGGAGACAAGACCTGCTGCTAAAAAACAGGTTTTTTTTCCAGAAAATACCTGCAGTAAAGGCTTCCGAGGTATACCAGGTGGTCATAGTGTTCTTTTTTCAGGCGAGAGTGGTTTTTATACCATGATAGAGTCGTTCAAAGGAGAGGAAAAGGTGCTTCTTTGAGGTCAATTGTTGATGTTGTATCGCCGGCAACCATTTGCATTTTTGAAAGACGAAGGTCGAAGTTTTTAGACAACAATAATTGGTGTGGCGTGGGAACTACCGGAAGCTGTCAGCACGAACCGGAAGTACGCACTATTCTCAATAAGCATATATAAGAACAAAATGTAATATTATTCTTCCGTAAACACAGAAAAAATTACATACATATTTTCTTCTAGGAATATTGAACAAAAGAAATTCGAAAACAAATGTTTCAACATCTTAGTTTAACCTTACAAGAAGCTCTCTTTATTTCTCATTTTTTTATATTTTGAAAGTTTTAACTTAAAATTTTTGGTTTTATTTTTATTTTTCACTTTACTTTCTTTCGTTTTTCTCCATTTTTTCTCCTTCTTATTATTTTCCTTTTCTCCCTTTCTTTCTTTCTTTCTTTCTTTTTCTTTTCTTTTTTTTTTTTTTTTTTTTTGCCCTTTGTAGACTTTCTCCTGCATATCTTCACTCTCCAGTCGTTAATCCTTGAGCATCTTTCTCCTGACTAACCGCTACTTTCTCTCTGTTTTCTCTCTCTCTTTCGTTCATTCGTTCATTTTTTCTTCCTTCAATCCCATATCAACACCATCCTATCCACCCTGTCATGTCTTTTTTTATCGTCACTTTTTCGTTAGTATTTGCGTATATCTTTTTTTCCTCTCTTTTCTTCACTGCCTTGGCTAGTGAGAACTAAAAATTTCTTCGACCATATATCATTTACCATGTTTACCAGGAAACGATTGTTACAGAACGACACAAGAAAAGCACTGAATAAACAAGAAAGAAAACTATGTTTACCTTATTATATAAACCCTCGTCCCGCAACTGTCTGGGTTTTGAAAAACGATATTAAAAATACCAAAAACAAACGAAGATTTGAAAGTTAATTTCTACAGAATAGTATAGCAAATTAACCCCACCCTCTAGACCCTAAGTCATTTCCGGTGTTCGTTAGCTAGCTTAGCATACCAACCAAGGCTTGCTTGCTGGCTGACATTCCTAACTCTCTTCTTAGCACGTTATCTCCTCCATAATAACTCTGATTGCAAAAATGAGACGCCTTAAAGATCTTCTAGTCGCAGTTCTTTTTGCTAGTCTAGTGATACAGTGTGTTTTTAGCCAAGAAGTTGACGATATAGACTCTCAAGGAGAGCAGCTTCCAAGCTACCTTCGAGACGATGGCATCAAGCGCGTTGCCACTTTGAAGCAAAGTAATTTTGAAAGAACACTAAAGCACACCAAAATGCTTGTAGTCCTATTTTACATGGCTTCAAAGGAGCACCCTGAATCTGAAAAAGCTTGGAAATCAGATGAACAAATGTTGGAGGTAAACATAGCGCTTTACAGCGCTTTCTTAGATAATATCTATATATGTACGACAGTTCTCCAAATTGTAACTATTTTAGGCCAAGAATTCTTGTTTTTCCAATCACGATTTTATGATTTGAAGAAGCAGTTTTTTCGGACAATTATCATCTTAAATTTATATTAAGGCTTTGAGAAGCGTTCAAATCACTAGAATAATTAGCCTTGTGTCTTATAAAAATCTTAATTGTTGCAACTTTATAAATCCAACAATGCCATATAAAATAATTCGACAGGTCTTTTGCTATTTAAAATTAAAATATGATTTTCGATAAAAATCACAGTTATTTTTACCGCGATTTGAAGAAGATAAACAAAGATTTTTTCTTTTACTCTGCTACAGATTTTGATGATCTTCATTTAGTTCCACAAATTTACCCTAATTTAAGTTTCTTGTTAATTTGAAAATATATTTATCTATTTTCATTGTATTGGAACGTCTGTTGACTTAGCAGAAATGTTTTTAACTTGCAGGTGTTTAAATACTCCAATAGTTTTTTGTGTTTGATATGATTTGATAGCATTCAAAGAACAAAAATAATTTTGACCATAGAAAAATTTTCAATGAGATGAATTTTTAATCCCAAAACTCGCACCGATCCATACAAGATTTATTTTTCTAACTCTGTAATAAAGCTGCAAAAATCATAAAATCTTTCACGAATACAATAACAATTTATTATCCCTTAGGAAAACATAATTTCTTCAATAAAATTAGAATATTTCTAATTTGTTGGGCAATAATGAAGGTAAATCCTTTATATTCTATTCGATCCTTTTTCATTATTTATGGTACTTAATTTTTCAAAAGATAAAACAATATTTTCTCGAAATTATTTAGAACATGTTTGGGTTCATTTATTGTTTGTTACATTTCTACCAATAATATTTCTTAATATAAATAAGGTACAAGCCATATTATGGTATTGTGTAGTTCCAAAAATTATCCATTACCCCCTCATGGAGGAATTTTTTTAAGACACCCCCCTACCTGGAAATTCCTTTTTTTTTCATACAAACTCTGTAATTTTTGTTCTTTCTCTGACCCCCCTACTCTTCGGAAATTCCAAATTCCTCTGTGGGGTGGGTATGGATGATTTCTGGAACTACACATTACATAAATCTTATACAAATGATGATAATAAAATATATATTACATACATAAAAAGAGATGTAAGAAAGACTATAAACTATCATAATATACATACAAAGAGAAAATTTAAGGTAAAATTCTGTCACCCATTTCTCACTCCCAGAAAAAATACTGGGCACAAAATCTGTTAGAGCTTGTTCCCGCATTATTTTGAATTAGGACTTCCAGAACATCGAAGCTCTAACAGACTTTGTGCCCAAGGGTATGTATTTTTTCTGGGAGCTAGAAACAAGCGACAGAACTTTATCCCTGGGTTCCCAAGGATGAGCAAAGCCCTGAATTTAATCTATTTTAATTTATAAGCATATTATACAGTCAATGTGGTCTCTTTTATTATGTATCCCAGAGTCCTGCATGCACACACAGTTGCTAGTTTGCTGGTGTCTTATTGCTATAATATGATAGTTGCTTGTTAAATGGACCCTTGTCAAAGAGAACTTGGATGTGAGACTATAAACATGAAAATGGGTAGTTCCAAAAATTATCCATACTTCCCCACCCCCCGTGGAGAAGTTTTTGATTTTTTTTTTTGAACCCCCACCCCCTCCCTAACTCCTGGAAATTCCAATTCTCTTCCAATACAACAAACTCTGTAATTTTGTTCTTTCTCTGATGCCCCACTACCCCTTGGAAATTCCATTGCTGGATTCAAAATCATATTATGAGTATATAAAGTTGTTTGTCTGCAAAAATCTCCTTTTTCCATGAACAGCTTAACATGAGCCACTGGGACTATAGCTGGATCTGTAGATCTTCTTGAAGAGACACATGTAAACCACCCCGCACTCAATGACGAAAAAGCAAATAAAGGTTTCTTTCTCAAAACTAAGTTGTTTRTTATTTCAGGTTGTAGCTCGTGTGCTTCAGCCACAAGGAGTAACTGTTGGAGTTGTAAATGTTGAAAAGGATTATGCACTTGCTCAAGCCCTTGGTAAGAAAAATTGATGATCCCAAAATGTCCTTAATTTTTCATTTGGGGTTTGTTTTATAGCGTAGGTAATTAGTTCATGATTATGATATTAATTTTAGGATTATGATATCTATAAAGTGCTGAGGTTTGAATGAGCTGTAGGCGCTGAGGGTAGTCACTGCCAGGGTTTCTTTACATCCTCAGTGGTTCTTTTAYGTCCATCCGATATTGGTTAATAATGATGAAATGTGGAGAGATGGGACTGCCATTTAAATTGATCTTCTGAGCCACTTGAAGGTCTAACCATTTGCAGTCGTAATTACAAAGGCAGCACCAGTTCTTAGTTATTTTTAAGACCCTGAGTGTTGGTACAGCTGAGGCCTGAACCACGATATCCCTCACAATAGACCTTTTCATCTTGATTTTTCCCATTTCAGACCATTGCATTATTCACTTTAGAACGATATTCTTTCACAACTGGCTGAGAACATGTGAAAATTCTGTGAAAGATATCTCTGTATTTTTGAAATGTCATAGGTTTTTTACAGCTGGATTTTCACAGTTAGTCCTCAGTTAGTATTAAGTGTTTGTTTGCAAGCATCCATATGTATTTTCTAAAGCATTACAGGGCAATGCACAAAAGTATGACCAAAAGATAGGAATGTATAGCATACTTCAATATATACATGGGCTTTGTCCTGCTGAGAAAGCATTTGCACAGCCTATTTGGTAAAACCAGCCAGCTTCCTATCATGTGTTGGTTTATTGTACAGAAGACTGCAGAGCTTAGAAGTATATGCAAATACATTATTTGTGGTTATACTTTTGTCCGTTGAGCTGTAACTGTTAAAGAGTTAATGCTCAAGGAAATGACACAATAATATATCATCTGCTCAAATGGAAAACATTACAGGATTAGTGGGCCTTCTGTAGTGTAACACTGACCCAGCACAGCCAATAAACTGCCAAAAGATGGAGAATCGATCATACTATCATTATATAATTTCATATGTATTTTATGTTTAAAAATTTTTTTTGATGATGATGCTGTGATACATATATATTATATATATGATATACCATATGATTGTTGATCGATTTTATGTTTCCAATAGGTGTCAAATTTGCTGGTGCTATATTAATATTCCATAGGGGGAAAAAAGTGGATTACTTTGGGCACAGGTACTAATAATGAAATAAATATTTTATTGCTAAAATAGTGATAAACTATGTATACTGGTAGACTTATTGATGCATGTGACCTTTGTATTTTGGTTATTGCAATTACATTAATGCCAGCTGGGCTAGTACGTGGCAGATTCAGGGAGTGGTTCAAGGGGTGCCAGTGACCCCAATCCTTCTTAAGCTCGAAATTAGTTGGTTAGTATAAACCTTACAACTCAAAATTCTAGGTCAGCCCATGATGGGCTTGTATGTCGATTCCCCTGATGGTCTAATAATAATATGATAATAATAATAATAATTTAATCACTTATTGTGCGCGTGCATTCCATACAATGATCGTGTGCACATTACAATAATAATATATAATATAATATATATAACTATATAACTATTTACAAATAAGATGAATAGATATATATTGATAAATACTGAAAAAACTATCAAAATGCTAATTTAAAATTTAAATTTAAGATGGCGCTTAAACAAATTAACATCTTTAATGGCGCAAAGGTCTGCGGGAAGTGCATTCCAGAGAACGGGTGCCACCGTCTAAATTGGAATCATTCTCTAGAGAATTATTTATTTTAATATTGGGAAATGAAGGTACTTTTTTATGCAGGTTGGGGAGGGGTGGGGGGGGGAGAGCTTGGGCTTCAGAGGGGATCAGGCTCATCAATAAAACTTGAAATTTTGTGGATGATCAAAAATGTTTATTTTGAGGAAAGTTGTTTTTTTTTTTTTTTTTTTTTGTTTTTTGCTCATTGAGTTACACAGTAATTAATAGGAGGTAATGTGTAGTTCCAGAAATCATCCATACCTACCCCACAGAGGAATTTGGAATTTCCGAAGAGTAGGGGGGTCAGAGAAAGAACRAAAATTACAAAGTTTGTATGGAAGAAAATTGGAATTTCCAGGGGGTAGGGGGGTGTCTTAAAAAAACTCCTCCGTGAGGGGGGTATGGATAATTTTTGGAACTACACAATAAATCTAGTAAAAGATGGGACCACAGCCATTTTTGAAAAGTTTACAGCCTCCCCTCCCCTCCCCTGATAAGAAACATACCTCCCATTCCTGGTAAGGAACTCATAGATAAATTGGTGATTTATATTGTAAAGTATGACATTAAAAAAACCAAAATATATATTATTATTCTGCTGGCTTAAATGCATGGGTGGGTAAACATTACAGATTAACGAAAAAATATGATTTTAAATAAATATGCAAATGTTATCAATAGGATATTTTTGAAGAAAAATTGTATTTTCAAAAAAATATACGCTACTTGGTATGCGAGACTTGAAAATCGATCAAACCTGTTGCTATGGAAACTAAAAGTAATTCTCTAAAATGTAGAGAACGTCCTTTGTTGATTTATGTCTTTCCTCAATTTTTTTGTCCAAAAAAGCTTTGTTTCACAAATTCAAAAGCACTAAACTGTTTTTAAAAATAAATTAATAATGCAAAAATTTAGGGAAAAAATCTGTCATAAAAAACATATTCGAAAATGAATAAATTYGTCTATAATCTTATATTCAAATTATCTAGAATCAAGATTGAATTGAAATATTTCTCTTTTTTATGTGATTTTAAACCTTTTCCTGTTCTTTTCTAGATCTGCTGATGTTTTRATAAGTTATCTTCACAAGGTAAAAYAAAATTGATATCCAAATACGAACTGAATGCTTTAAAAATTGGAATATTATTGAAGATTAAATTTGATGTTGACCCAGACGTTTCTTCTTTATTCTTCCTTGGAAAAAATTGCGTATCTCTTCAAAATCGTGGCTTTTTTCGTTATTCTTAGACTTCAGTCTTACACAACCCTTTCTGTTTTCTCTACCTTGTACTAATCAAAAATTTAGCCCATATTTTACGTTTAACGTCAAAGGCAAAAATAATGAAATTTGAAAAGGAATTCAAATGGAATAAATTTTTTTGAATTGGAACAGTTATTATCTTTATTTTTAAAGATGTTTTATGCCTCTAAGGTTCTTATGTTTTTGAATTAATATTCCTTAGATGTTTGAGCCTCCACTTACCGTCATCGAGACGAAAAAACAGCGCAAAACCTTCGAAGACACAGACAGTAGCAAAGTAGTGGGATATTTCGAAAAAGGAAGTCCCCGTAAGTATATGCTATTGGGCTTCCTGTTCGTCTTATTATATGGGTTACCTGTGGTAGGGTGCTGGCTTTAGATTGGGTGGCCTCGGTGACGTTGATATTTAAATAATTTAAGTTTTGAAAAAAATTTCATTTTGTGTTAGAATACGAAGCATTTGAAGAAGCGGCCAAGAATTATCAACC